ATCAATAAAGAATGATATACAAACACGAGCAGAGTTACTCACTATCGTGTTTATTTTGGTGAGATGTTGTTTCTTGTACTCAACCCATTCCTTCAAATTTGAAGTTTTCATACCCTCCAAAACTAAAACGGAGTTTGTTGTTAATAAGCCAGCCTTGCTTATAGGCTACAACTTCCTGTTCAATTAAATGCTGTTCATTCCTTCCCTCACCTCCACACATCCCTGTTTCCTTGCCATACAGACCCCATCATATTTTAGTCCCTGAACAGCAATAATTGAGTTAGCATTAGCTTGTGGACTATGGTACACGTAGACTGCCAAATTTCAAAGATACAATCAACAAATTGTATTAGTTTCCATTTTCTCCAAGAGCACAGAAGAAAGAGGTTCTAAAAGCAGGTCAAAAGAATCTAAATTTTTGTGTTTTTTTCTTTTGGAAAAGTAAGGAATCTTTGAGAGTGACCTGAATTGGATCCCACGGAAACTCGATGGCGTTGGGCTCCACTGAATAGATCAGAATCTATGTGGGCATATCAATCTTACAGCCATTTTCATCACAGCCGTGAACGAGCGCCCATACACCAACTCTCCATACACCTCTCACACACACCTAACACCTCCAATCTCCACTGTCACCGATGTTTTAAAACCCAGCCCGTGATCGGTCTGTTTTGGTCATTGAGTTCGGTTCAATTGGTTAAATTAATCTAATCAATCATAATTAATCAATCTAATAAATTTTTTTTTTATTTTCTTAATTTTAAATTATTTTTAATTTAATTAATTTTAGTTTTAAAATTGATTAAAATAATATTTGTATTTATTGATTAAAATAATTATTAATTTTTAAGACTTTATTCTCAAAATTTATTAATTTAAAATTAATTTTAATTTAAAATTGATTTCATTTAATTTTAATTTTAAAAAGGTTTTCATTCATTTTATTATCTAAAGTAGTAATTGATTTTATTTTAAATTAAAATCACTCACTAATTTGAAATAATAATTTAATTTTAAATGAAATTTAAATTAATTTAAGTTTTTCATTCATTAATTGTACTTTGACTTTAAGTAGATTTTCTAATTTAATTATTATATTATTATGAATTAAATAAATAAAAATATAAAAATAAAGAAAAATGTAAAAAAAAACAAAAAACAAAAAACAAAGAGTTGAATTGGTTTGGGTTAATTGGGTTGATTGGGTTTGGACACATTTGATTGGGACTAAGCGCGCTTGACTAAATCTAAACAGATTTCAATTGTATCAACGATCTATTAATCCAAATGAAAGAAGTGTGATTTTGTTAAGTAAAGTCTCGAATTTAAATATTATGAATTGAGAAATAGGCTTATCACAAGAGACAAAAAAAAACATATTTCAATTGAATTTAATTTCAAATGGGTTATTATTATAAACCAACTCGTTTTTAACATCAAATCTAATTTAATCAGTTAAACCAACTAGATCAAGATAGGTTTCAAAACAATGCCTGTCACAGGAGGCAAAGAAACGGATATTATGACACAACTAAATTTGTTAAGTTTATTAAAATTATTAAATTTTTTATTTTAATTTAATTATTAAAAATAATTAATAATTAATAAAATATTTAATATTCATTATTTAATAAATTAAAATTAATTTATAAATAAATATTTTTAAATATTATAATTAACTGTTTAAAAGTTATAAATAAATAAACTTACGATTAAAATTAATAATTTTAACCGAAAAAAAGAAAGAAA